CCACTCAAGGAAGTGACTCAAAGAGATCTCGTATCAATGAAGCTGGAAACTACTCCTCTTCATCAAACCCAGAAACACCAACCAGTGGTGATATTGGGTATTCAGGCTTTCCTTCTAGCAACGAATCTAGTAAAAATAAAGGAAAGAGCAAGGTGCCAAACATGCCAAGTGGAGCATGGCAACAATGGTTGGACACTGCCCAGAACATGAACCTTCTAAGGCAATCAGAAAATGAAGTTGAACTTACAAGGTTGCAACTAGAAAGGGAGAAAGAAGCAAGGAAGCAAAGAAAAATTAATATGGAGTTATTTAAACACCTCGATTCAAAGCCAAACTTATCTTCGGAAGATCAAGAATTAAGGAGCACTTTGTTGAAGAAGTTGTTCCCCTCAGACTAATGTATTAGTGTATGGTTGATTATTGTCGTAATGTTGGTTGATTTCAAATAATTCCTTTTTTATTGTTCTTTTTTATGTACTTAAGGTCTGATTTGTAGTTTGAATACTTATGGAGTTATTAAGTTAAATTACATGTCTCTTCTTATAATCGTATTATAAGCTTAATAATATTATTCAATACATTAAAGTTTTTATATAATAACATATAATTATTATTGATCTGACTAAACCTATTGATTCACTTTGATATATCACTGCAAAAGATGTACATTGATTTACATTACACTGTAAAGTATTTGATGTACCCAACACTGAAAAGCAAATATTAAATACTAGACATTGATGTACTTAACACTGAAAAGGTAATAGTGAATTTTGTTCACTGATGTACTTAACACTGAAAAGGAAATAGTAGCATGCATCACTTGCTTTGACGTACATAACAATGTTAAGGTGATAGTGACAATGCAAAGGCATGCATCTCCATTACTTTTAAAAATTATTAACTACTTTATGAATCATTGCATGCATGCAAGACTTCAAATTTACCATATAAGACAAAAAAATTACTACATATCATACACACTTGTTCTATAAGATGGATACATCAGAGTGGGATTCCCTTGAACAACCATCCATTTCCCCCTATTATACTTCTACCTTCCATTCTCATATCAAATTTGGTTTTAAAACATGTCATCTGACGATAGCTCCAACTCTTCTAATTCCTCTTCCAATTCAGAAAATAGCCAAACCCAACGATATGAAAGACGAAGGCAAGCCAATCGCCAGTTCGATCGAATGATGGATGAAGTTTTTATGTCCAATCCAGTTGAAGTATATCAAATGTTTAATCAAGTGCCAAGGCCACCAAGGGTTCCCGTTCCAAGGGATCGTGAGGATGGACACAGTCGTTTATGGAATGACTACTTTACCGACCATCCTGTGTTCCCTCCACAATTATTCCGTCGGAGATTTCGCATGAACAAACATATATTTCAACGAATTAAGCAAACTTTAGAAGAACGTCATCCCTTCTTCCAGCAAAGACAAGATGCTACAGGAAGATTTGGTGCCTCTGCATTACAAAAATGCACCGCGGCTATGAGACTAATAGCTTATGGCACCTCCGCTGATTCTGTGGATGACTACATTCGGATTAGTGCATCTCTTGCAAGAGATTCACTTCAGCATTTTGTGGAAGGAATAGTCTCTTACTTTAGTGATGAATACCTTCGAAAGCCCAATGAAGAAGATCTAGTAAGACTACTAAGGATTGGTGAACGTCGTGGATTTCCTGGCATGTTAGGTTCTATTGATTGTATGCATTGGAGGTGGAAAAACTGTCCACTTCGATTAAAAGGTATGTTTTCTGGAAGACCAGGTAAACCCACATTAATCTTGGAAGCTGTGGCATCATATGATCTTTGGATCTGGCATGCCTTTTTTGGGACACCAGGTAGTCGTAATGATATTAATGTTCTTGATAGATCCCCATTGTTTAATGATGTTTTTGAAGGTTGTGCACCCTCTATTAACTATGTTGTGAATGGTCGCACATACAATATGGGATATTATCTCACTGATGGTATATATCCTAAATGGGCGGCATTCATTCCTACAATATCACTACCACAAAATGAAAAAGAAGGTCTATTTGCCAAAGTACAAGAAGCTAAACGAAAGGACGTTGAGCGTGCTTTTGGAGTATTACAAGCTCGTTTTGCAATAATACGGAATCCAGCGCTAGCTCGTGACGCATCAATGTTAGGAAAAATAATGATAGCGTGTATTATTATGCACAATATGATTGTTGAGGATGAAAGAGATACATATAAAACGTATTACGATCCAAATGAATATGATCAAGCTACAAATGCGTCTTCAAGTAATGAAAATAATGAAGAGCCTTTTCAGTTCCAAAATAGCAACAACCGAATTGCAAGTTTGGAAACTTACATGTCTAATAGAGCACGTGTTCGTGATGAAGCTATGCATAAAGCATTGAAGAAAGACTTAGTTGAACATATGTGGCTCAAATTCGGTGTTCAAAGTAGGGACAATAATATGCATTAATAGATGTGTAATCGCAATATTATATCATTGTGTTTGTACTTGTTCGCGGTTCGTTATTATCTTTCAAAGACTTTTGTCATTTGATAGAATATATATGTATGATTTTTATTATTGTGGAATGTAGTAGGGTTACAATTATTGTTTGTGTCTTAATTAACGACTAATTACATACTAATTAATATCAAAATTGCATTATTTTTAAATTTTTGAGATTTTATCTAATTAATGTATGCTAATAAATAATTATTAATTTTGAATGATTATTACCAAATGCATTATTTAATAATAATAGAATTTAAGTAATAAATTGTGTGGTGGGGTTGGGTAAAAGTAGGAGAGAGAAAATGTATAACCAAAATATTATGGTTAACTATTGGCATACATTGGTTATTAAATGGTTATAAGAGTGGTTATAAGTGAGGTGGAAGATGGATAAAATAATAAAATAATCAATAACCAAGATGGGGTTGGGCAACCATTGTGTATGCTCTAACTATTGACTATTGAGAGCCTCATATTGATCTTCAACCCTTGGAGTGATGGGCGATCGTAGTCCTTGGTCTCTTGGTGTAGACACAGAAGGCACGTCCGAAATAAGCGAAAGAAGGTTACGAACACTACTAGATCGAGTTCGCTTGAAGCTAAACGACCTCAAATTCTTGTTCTTGGAAAAAACATTGGATGAATTTGTAAGAATCAAATATACTAAAGCTTGAACCGCCAAAAACAAGCCCAAATTGATCAACATATCAATAGGAGACATCTCAAATATTGGTGCCTTAACTTCAAAAAAATAAACTTACGAATATAGAAATGAAATTTTTGGTTTATAAAATATAGTTTGAAAATTTGTTCTACAAAAAAAGTAAGATTTTCAAGTATATATAGGAAAGGGGTGAAGAAGAAAAATAAGATAATAAGATAGCCGCCAATTTGACTCGTACAAGGCACCTAGAAATTACGTGCATGTGGTGATTAAATAACCATAATTTAACAACACATCAACTTTATTTATAGTAGTATTATTACTCAACTGCCCCCAAACAATAAAAACTTTGTATTACTTGTATATTTTATCTATAATATAGATCACATGTGTAAATGTGTGACTAGCTTGTTCAACGTCCACGTATTTGGTGATTGGTATTATTGGTCTAGTCAATAGTTATATTAGGAACAAGGAAGGATCAAGGAAGAAGAACTTTTCTTTTTTTAGTTTTAGAAGAAGGATAAAGAACTTTTAATTACAAATTTACAATCCAACTAGATTTCCTTATTGTTTAACTACTCCATCCTTTTTCAAATTAAGGCCTACTATATTTGATTGGCATATGTGTGCTTATTACACATGAACTAATTTATTGACATAGAAAATATACCTATTTAAACAATATAAAGTATAAGGGCATTTTAGATATTTTAGGTGAGCACCAAACTTTTTGAACGTTAACTTATAAGAGAATTAATTCTCTAATGGATAAGTATCGTCACCTAAGCGTGTCTATCACTATAAAATCATTAGTAATTAATTTTAAATTTGCCTTGATACAATTTCACATTTCATAGGTTCGTAACATTTTTAGTTAATTTGTAAAATTTCTTTACTTTCCTATCACTACCTAACGTTTGTAAAATGACAGGGTATAAAAGAAAATGTTGACTAATTGCTTGATAAGCATACCAAGACAACTTGTGAGTTTTTTATAAGAGGAAATCTCACATGAAAATAGTGTGACTTAATGACTTGTGTGAAAAGGAAGGTGAAAGAAGTAAATTGTTTTATTGTTTGAATTTGTCCCTCAACATTGAACACTCATATTTTGGATAAGTTTAAACATTTTTTTTTTTCAGAAGTTTTAATAATTTGCTAACTTCTTTACATGTGATGGATTGCACTCAATAAAGTTGGGCTGACATATGACACACTCCAATTCCTCTCCAACCATCTTCAAGTGTGGGGCTCAAGAGAAGTTATAGTTAGGAAAGTTGGCAACATTTTGCTTGCACATTTGTGTTACCATCCATTTGTTTGATTTGCTTTGCTTTTCAACAATTTCTTTCCTTTCCATCAGGTTGTAACGGATGTTTCAGGCTTCAGAGTCCTCGACAATATATATAAGCTCCTACCTCTCGGACACCAGCTGCAAATTGCTACCACAGGGCAACAAATGCTAGCTGCACATTGCTACCACAGGCCAACAGACACTTGCTGCACATTGCTACCACCGGCCGACAAAATCAGGACAACAAAATGTGTCAAGGCTCTGTCTCAGACACTGGCTATAATCGTCCAGAGTGCAGTAAGTAGATTGAGTATCCTCCAGAGAACACGAGACAGATGCTCTATCACTTTAACTTATCCTCTGCATTCATATTACTCAGCTGACAAATTTTAATCATTGCCATTACTTCAACACTTCTATATATTCTACAAATTGGCAAACTAAAAGCTCATGGGCGACCAAAAAACCAACTAGCAACCTTACATAATACATTATAAATTCGTTACTCTTGTCAAGGCACCAATGCCAAAATCAATCCAATCATTCGTGTTAACTACTAGCAAACCTGGCAGTCACCGAGCAAATTATTGGTGAGCTATACAGCCATTCGACATTCCAAGTGTTCGGCAAAAATGTCATATAAGTTGAGATTTGGACCTGTGTTTACAAACTATCTATAAGTTGCATAAATAAATCTAATACTCATCCAAAAAAAAAATTGTCTTCTTTCCCTCCTAATTCAGCCAAGGCATATCTATGGAGATAGATTCAAGCCCCAAAATTACTCCGCTAGCAGATGATAAGGCAACCCAATGCTTATTGGGGTGGCTTATCCACTTGAGTGGATGCACTAAAACTCGTACCAGCAGACTCCTTAACTGATTTATCTACCGTAGTGTGTGTAGAAGGACTGGTACTAGCAGACTCCTCGACTAGTTTATCCACTTTAGCGGATGCAGAAGAACTGGTACTACCAGACTCCTCAGCTTGAGCAAGTTGACGTAAACGCTCTTGAAGGACTCGGACTCTATCCTCAGTCTTCCGGAGCCTCCTCCATCTGTATGCAAACCAAAGCCCAAATCCACCATAGACAACTGCATATGATCCCCACACATAAGGGTAAGTTTCTGCATGCTTCCTCAGCTCATGATACTTTGCTTCGACTTTTCTCACAATGCCAACTGCTGGATTGCCACCATCGGTTTGTTCAGTGCCTTCTGCCTTTTGTTCTGTACCCATTTTCAGTCAAAGCTGAAACAACAACTAACGATATTTGATTCAAAAATAGCACACTCCAAAGACCATGATTTCGAGTTCAAAAAATAGCAAACTGAAATTAATAATCACAATCATGGAAAACCAGATCAACTACAACATAAAGAAAGTATGCAACAGGTATCCTACAAGCCACAATCTATGCTACTCGGACTCAGCTAGAAGTGCCCGATACAGGTAAGTGCCTAAGTGTCGCCGAGCCAGGGCAAGAGGGGCGGCCAGTGTAAAAAGGTCCAATTCATAGTTCCATCCTACAATTAAGGGTTATACATTACAGCCAGCAACACAATAGCAACCAAATTTGATTCAAATATCAAATTAGGCTACAAATATCTTCAACCCTTCAAGCCGAGCCTACTGGTAATCGGGCCCGAGCTCGGTTTGGCTTGTAAAGTCCATTAATGCAACACATTAGCAAGTAATTTGACTCAATTATCATCAAATTAAGCTCGAAAAATCACATAAAATTCTTATAGCTTACGAATATCAACGTAGGATGCCTTTTTAATCTCAACCATCAATTTTCAATTTTAAATCCTATTCATGTATTAATTTAGTTTGACAGCCAAGAAAAAAAAAATAAAATTTACAAAAGCAGTTTGCATTCCTAGCAAATCAAAACCCCAAAAATTTACTCGCATGATCTAACACCAATGTATCCATTCCAAAAAAGAATTCCTGTATGCAGTGTTATTAAAACAGCAATAAAAGTATCTACATAATTATTGTATTCATTAATTTGATATTAAAACTATCAATACGACAGTATGAGAATTATTGTTCAAGTATTGAAAGAATCTCTATGCCAATGTTTATTCTAGATTGGAGTGCATCAAATTGAAGAAAATTAAGAAGTTTTTGTGGTTAATGATGATTTAATGAAGATGAATTTTTACAAGTATTAAAATTCCGAGAAGAAGATGAAGTGATGGCTGGTTTTAAATAAAACTAAACAACAGTGTTTTTTTTTTCTTCAATTAGCAAAATTCTAGCAATAAAATCGGTCGATATAATTATTCAAAACTTCAGTTATAAACAAAAGTTCAATGATCGACCTTAGAACCCTAAATTGACTATTAACAATGAAATGAACGATAAACCCTAGATTATGAAATTGACTGATTCGATAGTTTGAAAATGAATAAACAAAAGAAAATCGTACCTTAGAAGCTGCTTCAATGGAAGAGAAAAGCTCAGAAGCTGCTTCAATGGAGAATTTAGAGTTCGCGCATCAATGGAAATGGGGGTAGGCAGTGGCGTCTCCAGGATTTGCGAAGTGTGGGTTCGAAACTTCAGAAGTTCGGAATCATAATTAACAAAGGGATGAAAATATAATAATTAAAAATTAAGTACATAAGTTCATATTATGGATTACAAATAGATTACACATAGAAAAATGAAAAAATAAAACTACAGAAGCATTTTTCGAGTATATCTCAAATTCATTATATATCACTATATCTCAAATTCATTATATATCACTATACCACAATGGCACAATCTACAATTTTACATTATATATCATTATATCTCAAATTCCCAATCAAATTAGCAATTATCATTTACCAATAACTCACTACGACAATAAAGGCAGCAAGGCACTAGTCACTTAGTCAGGCACTCAAGGTCACAGGCAGCAAGGCACTTGGCAGCAATTCAACAAGACAACAAATGCAATTAGACTAAAACTAAAAGACAACATTCAGTCAGTCACAATTAGTCAATTAGACAATTTCTGAATTTCGACAACAATCACAACATTCACAAATTACAATTAGACAATTTCAATAACATTCACAAATCACAATTAGACAATTTCGAGTTTTCGACAATTGACAACAATGAAATTATGAAAGACAGAAAGACAGCATTATCGCATACTCGCATTGAGCATTCACAATCACAGATTCACAGCAAGGCAGCAATAAGCATTAAAGGAAACCGGAAAGGCAAGCTCACCAGACACCAGGTCGACTGGTAGAGGCCGTGCCGCCGTGAGCCGATTGATCGAAGTGCCGTATGCGATTGCGGTATGTTGAAGGACTGAAGCGTCACGAACTGATTGATTGAACGAAGGTGGACGGTGAAGGACGACTAAAGGCGGAATGCGTCACGGACTAAAAGGTGGCCGGCGGGCGGCGATTGGCGAGATTTAGGGGAGTAGGAGTTTAGGGGAGTTAGGGTTTTAGAATTTGGGGGAAAAGTGGAAAACTGTTCGTGATAAACAGCAATGTAGAAACCAAAAAGAAAAAAAAAAAAAAAAAAAGTGAGTAATGGGATTCGAACTCATAATTTCATATACAATGTGAGGTAAAAAAACCATTGAGCTGCACCTTTACTCCTTGACACTTGCTACACAGATATTCCTTTTAACCGTTTTCCAGTTTTTGTATTTTTATAAAAAAAATTTAAAAAATAAGTGGGTTTAATGAACCCACTTGAACCCATATTGGCTCCGCCCCTGAGGAGTGATTGAGTGCAGCGTAAAAACGAAAAGCTTCAAAGGTGAACAAAAAATGAAAACGTTGAAAATTCAAGATTAATTGCACTCATATGCGGAATTTTGTGAACCGTCAGATCTAATTAATATTAACGGACGTCATTCAATTAAATACCTCCAACGGTTTTTTAAGAGGAACACCCCTTGTAAAAAAAACAAAAAATATACCGTTGAGTATAATAAATACTGTAAAATAAAACAAAAATCACATGCTTGTTTTCAAAACAAAAAACCACAAATAGAAAACAAGAAAAAGATGTTTTCACTTTTTTGTTGTTAATTTTCAAAATTATCATGATTTTAATAAATTTGACTAATTTTTTATTCATTATATATCATATGATATTAAAAAACAAAAAACCAAAAAACAGAAAAATATAGCAATGCCAAACGAGCCCATTTGTCATTTCATCTATTTTACAAAAAAACAAAAAAGGTAACTGATTTGCAAAATTGTAAATTAGCTTGATAAACTTGTTTTTATTCAAGTTTAAATAATGTATATGAACTAGCTTGAGTGACATACTAATCAATGCACAACTTTAAACCTTTGGATTATTTACTTCCTAATTTTGTATTAATAAAAGTAAAGATTATAACAAATTAATTATGTACATTATTAAGATAAAATTTTACATAATAACATTTACTTTGTACTCATATGTATATGTAACAAAAATTAAGTCAATGTTATACTTAAATAATGAAAAATCAAAATTAATGGAGTATCACGAGCATTAATCAGTCACATAAAAGTTGGTTTTTAGCCGATAAAAGGAGGTGTACACAAAAACAACCAAATTAACAAGCATTATTCAGTCAAATAAAGACTGACAACTTGAGGTGTCGTGGGGCCCATGGAAAGAAAATCCGACCACTTTTCTTTAATTTAGGGGTTCAAAAAAGTCAAAATTTGTCCACTGAAGGTTAATACACAAAATCGAACCAATTTCTAGGTTTTGCAACCCGATGTCAAAAAATCTCATAAAGGATGCATTCAATTCCAAGGTCTTATAATGTTTTTGGAAAGAGTCTTGACCTTGTTTCTTTTTGAGTTCGGAAGAGTCTCGATCTCAAGATTATAGGGGACGCATCTCGGGTCATATAATATTGTCTGGAACCACATGTGACCATTATTCGGACCAAGGCACGTGTTGGCCTTGAGTTAATTAAGGGAGTAATTGATGTTTTAAAGGCAAAGTGTGATTCCAACTATTTAAATGGACTCTCTAAGTATTGTGGTTCAAGGTTCAAACAAAAGTCCAAAATTCTCCAAAACTAAATATACACGAAATTGGACCAATTTCGGAGGTTAGGGACCCGATGTCGAAAATTCAGGATTGTACGTAGGAGATGCGTCTCGAGGTCATATATTTTTGTTTAGAACCACATATGACCATAAGTCAGACATATAAAGGTTTGTATTGGTCTTCGGTTGATCAACTCAGGCGCAAGTTATAAACGGGTAGAATGCGACCAAAGTGGATAATTCAATCCATCAAAATCGCCTTCGGAGGTGTCGTGAAGTCTATGGGAAGAACCCTGAACACTTTTCATTTTGAATCCGATAAAGTTTGTGATTGTCCATCACCAAAAGCTAATATATGAAATCGGGCAAATTTCAAAGGTTTAGGGACCCAGTGTCAAAAAATCTCGAGGTTATAGGGCATGAGTCTCAGGGATAATACAATATAAGTATATACTCCTTATGTCGCCCTAACAAATGACATGCGTGGGCTTTTTTCACTATTCATATGTTAACTTTGACTATACCTTATTAGTAACAAATTAAAAACAAATGTCATATTAATACAAAGTTTCATTATACATTTGTATTTTTTTTTTAATAATACATACGAAGTATTTAATTATTTCTACTTAAGGTCAAACTAGCATATGAACAAATATGTCTAATTTAACCGAGTCAATTATTTTGGAACGAAGGTAGTACTCGTACATTAGTGTTGAATCTGATGATGACAAAATCCGTGCAGTATATATAATCATTGTATTGACGAGGTTCAGACGTGAGAAAGACTTATGGAGTTAAGGTGAACCAAAACTTAAGACACCCAATAATTGAATAATGAATACAAACGACATTTCTTGCATAGCTGTGCATTGTACCTTGTCCAATTCCAGATTCCAGGTAAATGGCAAGCCATGTGACTCCTACAGTTAGTTTAACAAGCCAAACATGAAAAACACCCTTTCTAAAGAAAAACTGTAGATTGTCAAATACTGTCACTCAGATTTTGACACTTGATAAATTAAATTGTTTTTCTTTACAAACACATCCAATATAATGGATCTTGTCCAATAATCATTCACAGGATATCATTTGCTATGTCAAACTTGATCTCAGGCTGCAATACAACTAGATATTAAGATTGTTTTGTTAATATCGGCATATCGGATATGGGTGTATAATTTCTTGTGTATTACATAAAACAATAGTTATGGTAACAAATACGAGTAACGAAACACACACACACGAACACACAAAAGGCACCATTTTCAACCAGTAGAGATAGGAGGATATAGAGAAGAAATCATGCATTCATCTGTTTAATGTCACGATTATAATCACCACAGATAATCCGGTGGAGCAAGCAATTAGATACAAAGATTTATACAGCTCCTATACAAGCATGCACACAAATGCACCTTGTATTAAGTTAGTCTTTTTCTTTTTTCAGGGGGTTAAATTCGATGCTTTAATTAACATTCGAATGTGAACTTGGGATGGAAACTAGACCAGGAGGAGGGCAAAATCACTTGCGCACACATCCTCTCGTCCAAAGCCTAGTACATCACAAAGGGAACAAAAAGAAGACAGCTATACACAGAGAGAATTAACACTGAACAGAAACAGAAAATTTGTTCCTCCTGCCCTGTCAAGATCGACATTCTAACATAAATTATAATAAGTTAATCAAAACTTGAAGTGCGGCTCCATCTCCCTTTCAGGTAATCCTCCAGGGATATGTTTGGCTCAGTACTACTAACAGAGGCAGCATCATCCTCGATTATATCAAGTAAAGCCACATTCAGATGGGATTGGATATCAGAACGCGGTGTCTCACCATCCAAAACCTCAAATTCTTCAGGGTAATTACTCACTTGTTGCTTTGCCCAGTTTATTACTTCAGTATCACCTTGGAGCAACTTCAAAACCTGAAAATAATGCACAAGTTGGTTGAATTTTACAAGCATTAATACGGCAGCACCAAACAAAATGTAGAGCTTCTAGGCCTTCTACTACAGGAGAGATGACTTACATTGCCTATACGGGGTCGTGTTTGAGGTTCACGTCTTATGCAAAGAGTAGCAGCCAAGACCATTCTTTCAATCTGCTCATGGTCATAATCGCTACCTAATCTAGAATCTAGCAACGGAGACATCTTCTCGTCTTTTAATTTTGAGTTTGCCTGCACATATTGTAGATTGGCATTCACATAATGAGGAGCGCTCATGAATAAAGCTTCTAAGAGACAATCTAGAGTGATGGATAAGAGACATACCCAAATGACGAGGCTCTCCTTGCCCTTTGGATTGCTGCTATCTATTGGCTTTCTTCCTGAAAGAAGCTCAAGAAGTACAACACCAAATGAATAAACATCCATCTTGTCAGTCACCTTGCCATGCATGAAGTATTCTGGGGCCAGGTACCTGACACATGAGAAATTGCAAGGAACATTGCTCAGTTTAGATGTTTAGAAATTTCAGGCAAGGAATGTGGGGAGAAGGAAGACCAGAAATATGAAGTTACCCACCCAAAGGTGCCTGCAACATCTGAGGAAGTCAAGTACGAAGATGCGCTTGAAGCCCACGTAGCAAGTCCAAAATCTGCAAGCTGAAAAACCAAATCAAGACAAGTGTTAGTGATTATACCAGAGATATGTAAGATCTAGAACAGGTACTACTTATTAAATTGATATACACAACTTCAAAGTGCATTCAAAACTAAATCTTGATTTGTAGCACACCTGGGGCTCGAATTCATCAGAAAGGAGAATATTTGAAGATTTAACATCCCGATGAATCACAGTTTGCGAATCTCTGTTGTGTATGTAGTCCAATGCCTCTGCCACCCCTACTGCAACCTTGTATCTCTCTTCCCAGCCAAATGCTACAGCTTTAGTCTCATTACCTATTATTCAATATAATGTCTCAGTTAGGCAACAAAAGTCAGCCCATTCAACATTCAAATAAAAGGAAACTGAATGCTCAGGCATACCATGAAGATTCTCTTCTAAGCTTCCTCTTGACAAGAAATCATAGACCAGGATTAAATTCACTTCGTCGAAGCAGAATCCAACCAGGGATATGATGTTCTTGTAATTGATCGTTGTAATGATCTCAATTTCAGCAATGAACTCCTGCAACGCATCCTCTGATGGCTTCAATATTTTTACAGCCAGCTCCTTCCCATCAGAAAGACACCCTCGGTAAACTTGGCTACTACCACCTTTTCCAACCATGTTCTCTGCAAAATGAGCAGCAGAATGATAAGAAAAGCAACATCCAACTACCAAAAGACCACAAAATTAAAGAAACAGGAGGAAAGAACATACCAGGTGCATAATTTGATGTGGCTGACACAAGCTCTTGGTATGCAAACAATCTACAAGTGGATGAGTATTTCTCAAGAAGTCCTTCTAGTTCTTTGACCAGATACTTAAATCCGTTGATAGGGGAGGAAGGAACAGAGGCTACAGCATCACCAACTGGAACAATTGCACCACTTTCTGCACTCAAATCAGATGAATGATCGTCCATATGAGCAAACTCGCGTCTCTTTCTATCAGGGTGAACCGCCATTGAAGAATGTTTCCCGGGAATTCTCAAAACTCGGCGAACAAGGGATGTTTTCCGGCTTGGAACCTTTTCTGTCTCATGATGCCTGGGTAAAAACACCCGTCGAACCAACTGCCAACCAGGTTTCAACTCATTTAATTCTTGATTAACAACATACTTTGGATCAGAAGAGGCATTAACTGCTTGATATGGCACCAAAGCCATTGATTTATCCTCTCTATCGACTGTACACGACTCCTTCAGCATTTCATCACAGGAATAATCTGCCCAAGCAGAGATGGGTCCACAGCCAAAATACCTCTTTATCAAGGTACTTCTTCTAGCCACGGAGCTAATCTTTTCGAAACCATCACAAGTCTCCAGACCAGATTCCATACTTTTAATGGAAGAACTACCATCATCATCCACTTCTACATTGTCAACTTTTAATCCAGAAACCAAATGAGACGTCTTACAATTTCCTGCATAACCAAGCAAAAGTAGCTAAACTTATTAGCCACTAAACATCCTTCCAACTACATAGCTAAACCAAGAAACAGTAGCCAACTAATCACATACAAATTACTTACCACCTTCTCTACGATAAACAATCTTTCCGTTATCTACAGCAAAAACCGAAAAATTATTCGACAATTTCCTCGCACAATACTTAGCCACTGATGTCGGGGATCGAATCATGCGTTGGGCTTTACAAGTTCCTAAAATTAATGTAGCACTATCAAATCCTTTGGATTCTCGAACTAAAATCTTCCGCAAAGATGATCCTCTACACACCTTTAGCTTCAAATCAACCTGACCAATTCAATTCATTTCAATCAATACACATAAATTAAGCATTTTCAATTAAATAAAATAATTCAAAAAAAAAACCTCAAGCATAATCAAAATTCAAAACCCCTTGACCCCAAATCAAACCTTACCTACCAAACTATCATAACCCAAGAAGCCTAACTTCACCAACCAAAATCTTCACATTAATTACAAAATGCAAGTACAGTTACAAAGCATGTGTAATTACAAACTTACAATTCACAGTCATTCATCATTAGCCTTTAATTTTGGGTAAATTTTGAAAAAATACCCAATAATTTAGCATTAAAGCTCAAAAAAAACAAAAAAAAAAGAAAAAATCAACACAATATTTACTACTGTACACACTAAGCATTGTAATTAAAAATAAAATTAAATGAGCAAATGAAAAAATAAACAACAAATTCCACAGTAAACTACACGAGCCATTTCAATTTCAACAAAATTCAACGGAATTATTAACCTCGAATTCAACAATAATGCACTAAAAATTCCCCAGAAAAAAAAAGTAAATTAAAACAAAAAAATTAAACCTGTTTTAAATTGCAGAAGCCTTCGTACACAGCAAGCGTCGAATCAAAAGTCTTCACCAATGACAAAAGCGTCGATTGTTCAACTTCTGCTCCCACCCACAAAAATCAACAAAAAAAAGTAAATAAAAATCAGAAAAATGCACTTTAATTAAACAACAGGAAATAATTCAACAAACCCAGATATTAAATTTAACAAAAACGAAAACAAACCAGTAGAAGAGTGAAGAACATGAAGAGCAACAACAAGATCTCCAGGTTGAGCAACTTTCATAAGAGCCCATGTAAGAAGTTCTTTACTCTGTTGGTCTAATCTGACACCAACTAACACCGTTCTTCCGCCGTGATTCTCGCCGGAGGAACATTCTCCGGCGACGGAAACCACCCCATTGTTACCGTTATTCTCATTTTTCTGGGGTTTTTTCACTAATAACTTCATCTGGGTAAACAATAAAAATTGTTATACCCAGATCTTAAGGGGAAAAAATTATCAAAATCAATGAAATTTATCTTAGCTTGGTTTTAGGGAAGAACTCACAAATACATACACACACTTTTTGTAAGATTTTTATAAATTTTTTGTAAGAAATCAGATAGGATTTGGGATTTTTTTTTAATTTAATTTAATTTGATGTAGTAGTTGATAATTTTAAGGGAATCTCCCTGAAAAATGCAAGAGTATGGTTTTACTGTTTCATGGCTTTAAAGGGTAGGAGTATAAATTTTTGGATTTTGCCTTTTATTGATTTCTTTCTTTCCTTACTTTCTCTCTCGCGGTTCAATGCTTGCTTTCGTGGTTTCAGGAGAATGGGGTTTTTTGTTTTTGTAACTTCCCAAGTTTTTTTTAAAGAAAATATTTATTTTAGTTTATTTTAGATTGAGAATGGAAGGTGAGATTTTAGCTTAGCATGATGACATCAAATAATCTTTTGTTTTTGTCTTAAGTTAAAAAATACAAGTATATACATATATATATATATACTCCCTTCGTCCCAAAATACATGAGATGTTGGACTTTTTTTATTATTTATGCATTAGCTTTGACCATAATTTTTTACTAACATAATAAAAATTATGTTTTATTATAAAATATGTTGTTAGATAGGTATTAATATAAAGTTTCATAATATAATTTTTAAAATAATTTTCATTTATTTAATTATATAAAAGTAAAGTCAAATTAATACATTGACATGTGTGCGATGTTGACTGTGTCATGTAATCTGGGACAAAGGGATTACTACGTATTTACTCCCTCCGTTTTGCATTAGTTGCAACAATAGGTTTGGCTCATAGTTTAAGAAAATTATAGACTAGGCTTATAGGCTTATAATATAAAGTATTGTTAGTAAGAGATAGAGGCAATAAGAAAAGTAGTGTGGGTAGGGTTGGTAAGAAAGAGAAAGAATAAAATATTTGTGAAAATGGGGTTAGTGGGAGAGAGAAATTATAAAATAATGGTGAGTCATTTCCAAATATAGTAGTGTTGCAACTAATATAAAACGGCCGAAGATGAAAAGTGTTGCAACTAATGCGAAATGGAGGGAGTATATATTTGGAGAGGCTGAGAGTATGATGCATATCTTGCTCTCGAATGGTGATTTTATTTCTTACTTTTTGATTTTCGAGCTCTTTATTATTTCATTATTCAACATCTTACGATACAGAATACCTTATAATACAAGAAACTAAAATAAATTTCAATAGACAAATATGTTGATAAGAGGAATAAAACACGTTATGAGAAGATAATATGTTATGAAGAAGGTAATAAGTTCATATCATATCAGATCAGATAAGAAAAAAATTATAATCATACATGTTTTTTGTGCTATTTTTTATCGTTGAATATCTTTTATCTCGTAATGCAAAAATATTTAAAATACATATTAATAAAAATGATCGTGTAAATTTTGTAATAATAACAAACTACATTGCATCGTCAATACTAATTTTTAAATAATGATCGTATAAATTTTGTAATTCTTACTTGATTTGTTAGGTAGACTTAATATATCCTTAAAATTATACCTTATTGATATGATTGTGCATACGCCGTACAATAAATATAACAAATATTGACTTTTACAAAATCACAACTCCGTAAATAACATACGGAGTACTTTCAAGTTTTGAGACACTAAATAAAATTGATAATGACAATTTTTTTTTTTTTGGAATGATGATATTGATGCAATTAGGGTTTGAAAATGAAACTTTAACTGTTTTTATGTAGGGAAAAAAATGATTAATCTCCTGGCCTTCAACTAAAATTAAGTGCTCCTGTCAAAAAAAAAATAAAAATAAAATAAAATTAAGTGCTAGACATTTTTCTGTTCAGAAATATTACTGTCATTAATAAATTAATAAATAAATAAATAAAATAATGAGGACAATGAATTGTGGAAGAGGCATACTTAATATTCTACCAGAAAAAATATTCAATAAATCTCCGACCTTTGATACGGAGTAAAATATGATTGATTTCATGATTTGTCAAGATTATACCACGTAGCATCCACATAAATAGTAGCATGGACTCCATATTCTTGTCCCAGAGTTTGAAGAGCTTTAAGCCTTTAAACATTTATAAAATGCTCCTTTTGTCAGATTATGTGATCTTCTTTATTTCATCTTTTTTAGAGTTTGAGCACTTCAATAATAAATGTAATGTCTCTCAATTCTCATTTTATTCTTTGAAGCATGTTTTTGTGTTCATGTGTTATTGTGTTAACCCTACTCTTAATTATTACCCCACTTTGGTTTTTTTTTTTTTTGTTGATCTTTTATATTGCTCATTTGCTCAATGGGAATCTTTTTGAGCCTAAATTTAGTAAATTTAATTTAAACAATTAATATAAATTCAATCGAATACATATTACGAGTATCGTTATATGAAGGTTTATTTTATAATTATTCCGATAATCGCAATAATTAAATATATGTATATCAGAATATTAATTATGAAAAACAAATAGTGACAACATACACGATTTTATTCGAATATGAAGGTCATAATCCATTGTTGAATAAAGAAATGTAGGATTTGCTATATATCTCTACTTTTCATATCTAGCTTGTGAATGCATATTATTAATACTCGTAATATCTATATCAACCACATAAACTTTTTACTTTTATAAGTAGCTATTAATCTCAGATAAAGAATCAGAATTATAAACTCCATATATATAGGTGTTTTACTAATGACTCAATCACGTCATGTAATAGTTTCATAATAAAGATATGCAGTGTAAGCTCACTCATTGGATCAAGCTATGGCACACGAGTAGACTATAATTTCATGGTGCAAGTTGCACGTTATGTTATTGCCCTAGCGTTCATGTCAAGCATATGATTAGTATATTTGCTAATGATTCGACAACTTAATACTTTTTAAGTGCCACTAACCATTGATCAGAAAAGCATATGGTGGTAAAATTCACATAATCACAGCTAATCATCATCAATGTTACAGCTAATTATTACAGGTTATCTCTTTGGCATTTTTCCATTTGGTCATTAACAAAAAAGTTAAAAGCTTTAGGTAATTATGAAGGTAACTTAGTATCAACATGGGATTCAATTCCAACTTTGTTCTCTCTGTAAAAAAAAAAATAATAATAAAAAAAAAAGTATCAACATGGGATTCAGGTTTGAACTAAGCTGTGCCGATAATGTAGAAAAGTATTACTTCGTATTTTCATTTCTAAATGTGTGATTTTATAGATCTATTCTATTGCTATAGATATTGTAAAACTAATTACTACGAAATACGGAGTATTTGATATTAAATACTTCGTATTAGTTCCGTTCATTTCATATTATTTGCAACATGAAAATATTTTATACTCATATCTTATAAATAATACCTCAAAATTACAAATTGAAGTACTCCGTAAAAAAATTAAAAAAAAAAAAAAGGGGAGGTGATTAAAAGAATCAACATGGGATTCCAACTTTTGTAGTGACCACTATCAAATAAGGGTAAAGAATGTGGGGGAACCCTATAAAATAAGGGCAGTAAAAGTCGCTTTCTTGTGGCCAAAGTGATTCTATATTTTGGACCCTAGCTTTTTTTATTAAGTATATTTAATTAACAATTTTGCCCCCATATGCCTTAATTAAATAGATAATATAGGAGCAAAAAGATCATTTTCATCAATGACAGAATATTTAGCAACCTTTTTTTTGTATTAAACTATGGATTTAATATCATCATGACTATGAAAATATAATTATATACTAATCCAATTCATCGCTGTCAATCGCAATAAGAGAGATTTATTCCAGAAGAAAAAGAAGTTGCTACAAAGTGCACATCATCTGCCTTTTTATAATACCTACTACTCCGTACTAATTATTAGTAACTTATTAAGATTAATCTTCACAAACTACTTTTGAGATGGTTTAATTTATACAATTATTAACTTTGAGCAAGAGTTCATTTTTATTACTTAAGGTAGGTCATATACGACCTGAAGAATAGAGCGAGGTGTGACTCATATCATAATTTAATTCAACTTTAATTAATTAGCTTGTCGAACTTTTGGCATCATTTTTTGTTTTCAATTTTCAGTTTTTTTTTTTTAAAACAGAAAACTAAAAAAGGAAACAAGAAAAAGGTGTTTCTATTTCCTTGTTATCGGTTTTCAAAATTAGGATTTTAATAAATTTGACTAATTTAAAATTTATTTTATTACATATATCATATGATTTTGAAAAACAAAAACCAAAAAACAGAAAACCACAGCAATGCCAAACTAAAAGAATTCTATAATTATTTTTATATATTAGTTGCTAAGCCAATTATTATCAACTCGATTTAAGGAAATTATGCCTCTTGGTAGTGTAAACCGGTTTTGTCCACGAAAAATAAAATAAATTAAATTAAGAATAAATGACGAAACAAAGGGAGTAGCATAATAGTACTCCATTTATATTCAACCTAGCTAATAACTACTACAAAAATGAATCATTGCACATAGTAGTTAATTAATTAGCTATCCATACGTAATTTACGTATTTAGTTGTTTGACAAATGTCATTTTTTTTTTTTTGACATAAGTCAAATGTCATTTTTATTGATTAGCAATTAATAAAATTATTATAAGCTAATTAATTTTAATTTGCTTAGTCATCTACGTAATAAAGTATATCGAATTATATCTTCACAACTCACAAGTCGTAATATCATTGTGAATTATGCATGTGTATGAATTTAATTATGTACGAATTGATAAAGAATTATGAAAGTGGAAAGTATTAAAGAAGATCAGATAAGATATAGAAGTAATTATTAAGGATTTAAGGTGAATACAAAAACTTAGCAGATAAATTAATTTAATAATTGTCAGAATAAGCCACCAACCATGGGATGTATAGAAGTTCATCTAAATACTATCATACAAATATCAAAAAGTTGATTTAGCATAAGTGCATAACTTATTAGTCTATTATTCGTACTTGTGAAACACCTACAATGACCATCATAATAGTTCAAAATAAAAATACACGTAAAGAATAAAAAGTAACAAAGGGAGTAAAATAAATAAGGCTAACTAACTACGAAAGCAATGTGGAAACGGAAACGCAAATTAAAGACATAGTGCGGGCTTAGAATAGCATTATGCATGCAAATTACCATTTGTCGGTGGTGCCCTGCCGCCTACGTATGACTTTCATTCTTTCTCAATCCGTATTATTTTGCCTTTTTAACAAGTTAAGAATATAATTACACCTTTATTGTTTTATAAATTAGAGTGTATCCATGCTTGTACGGGATATATATAATATGTATGTTTAAGGGAAAAAAAAAGTAGAAGTGAAAGTTATTAAAGGGTGGTTATTAGTTATTTTTTTTAATTGAGTGATATGGGTAATTATTGGTTATTTAAAAAATATAAAAAAAAAAGAAGAAGAAGAAGAAGGGCTTGATTTTTTTTTTTTTTTTTTTTTTT